CAACACCTCTCCTGAGCTCACATCTGGGCAAAGCTACCGGCTCTGGCACAAAGCTCAGGTAAGGGGGCAAAGCAGGACATGGCACAAGGACAAGGGTCTCAGGATGGGGCAGGGTGGATGGACATCCTTGCTTCCTGGTAGAGACCACAGCAGGTTCCTTCAACGCTATCCCCATCCTCAGACCAATGACAGGGCGACAAGTCCCCCCTTCCCCCAATAACCACTGAGAGCCAAGAGGGGGTCAGTGGCAGGAGATCAGAGATCTCCAGGGATCTCTGGCCATCAAAGCAGCCCTATGTGGCACAGAAGAGGAAGAGCAGGGTTATTCCTCCGCCAGCCTGTCACCTCTGAACGCCCCCTGCCTCTCCAGGGGGCTGCGATTTGTCAATAGAAGCTGGTTCAAGAAGATGGAGGATTTTCCCCTGCCTTGCTCATCTCCATCTAAATGAGGTTCCTCCCTAAATCACTGGTGGTTGAGCTCCAAACGAGCCTCCTTTGTCTGCCAGATGCCTCCATGCCGGCAGGTGCCAGCCTCAGTAATTCACCTCTCCGATAACCTCTCTCCAACATATACAGCAACACCTCAAGAGCTCCCACCTTCATGGACCCAACAGCAAGACCCAAACAGCTTTTTACAATAAATAGAAGTAATAAATATTAAATAGAGGCTAAGTCCCCTCAGCCTGTTCAATATATGTACAATGCATAGCAAAATAACGTCGACTGGCTGTTGCAGACAGGTTTGGTACAACTTCAGTCCCCCAAAACAACAAAACCATTGAGAAAATCTGCGGTCAACATAAAGCAAAGCTCAACCGAGTGCTGTAACCCGTGAAGAAAAGAAAGAACAGAACAGTGCTTTGAAATATCCCTTATCTTTGCTTTCCAGCAAACATGCAGAGATTGTGTTGTGTTTCCTGGGGCCTGGCCCCAGCGCTGGGATTGGGAGAGGAGGGACGAGTGTGACAAACCCAGAGCCAAGGCTGGTCCGGAAAGTGGGCAGAGCTGGCAGCAGGACACTGGGGTGAGGGGACATTCAGGTGCAGCAACCTGCGCTCTGCCAGGGAAAGGCAACCAGGGTGCTTGGGTGTTGGAAATAAAATTGTGGGTGGGAAAGAGCCTCTGTGTACAAGGGAAGCAAAAACCCTCTGAGATAGGGCCTCCAAAAAAAAAAAACCAAAGGCTGAAATACTTCCTGGAATGTTGCTGCTCTGGGTGAGGCTGCAGCTGGCCCTGGGCATCCCTCGTGCAGCGATTCACCAACACCATAGTGACCGAGTTGCCTTTCCACCAGGTGAACTCTGCTCTTTGCAGAGAGCACCAGCAGCAACTTGAGATGCTGGACGTGGAGCAAAAATACAGAAAAGTGATGAATGAGCAAAACAACAACAAAAAAAAGCTCTGGCAAAAGGCACAGAGACAGAAAAGCTCACTTGCTTCTTGGAAACCGACAGAAAACCCAGTTGTCCACTGACAGGGAGGGCGATGTTCCAGGTTGTACTAAAAAAAATAAGTTAAAAAAGAAATAAATACCAGCACTGAGGGAAACTGCTACGTACATGCACATGTGCACACACACACACACACACACACGGTGAGGGCCTGTCACCAGAGGCTGGGTGTTACAAGCATCTTCAGCACCAATCGCTCTCACACAGTCTCATTTCTTGTGGTTTTTCCATGGGTGGGTCATCGCGCGGCGATAAACACGGCAGGGGAGTCCTGGCAACGGCATCCTCCCCGGGAAACGGCGGTGCCGGGGCAGAGCCGCTTGGTTTCGGGTTGTGCGCTGGCTGCGGAGCCAAGGGAAACAGCGGCAGCAGCCAGCTGGCACCCGGCCGGCGCGAGCACGGGCCGGGGCGACACTTCCCCTCGCGGCGCTGCAAACACCCCGTTGCTCAGCTGGCTGGTAAGCAGACCCTCGCCGTCACCTCTGCCAGGTCACAGACCCATTTCTCTGGTGACATCCATGATGTTCCTACACAAATCTAATGAGAAACCCGAGATTTTAACATGAAAACAACCAGCTCTGCCCTGCATCCCTCTGCCCGTCACACACTCTCTTTTTTCTGCCCTGCTCCAGAGAGCACAAAGGGACACGTTGGCAGCAGGAGTGACCGTCACTCCTCCAGCCACCTCACCTGACCGAGAGGGGCCAGCGTTGTAAACCTTTACGTGACAACAGTGGCATGAATACATTCAGACAAACAAATAAATCAAAAAATAACTTATTGTTAAAAAAAAATAATAATAGAATAAATAAATACTGGTAACGGTGACCACCTGCATCCATTCTGATATACAATTAAAAATAGAATAATAACAAATAAATAAATAAATAAATAAATAAATAAATGAAGAGGTTTACTCCAACACAAGTCTGCTCAGGAAACCCCAGGAGCGTTTAGCTGCCATGGACTGTCAAAGCGGAGGCAGTCCTCGGAGCGCGGATCAGCCGGACGAGTGCCAGAGCCACCATCAGCCCTGTGCTGCCCTTGGAGTCATCTCCTGTCCCCTGGTCGGTGGGTGCTGCTGCCCCTGATTAAATAAATAAATGAAGAGGTTTACTCCAACACAAGTCTGCTCAGGAAACCCCAGGAGCGTTTAGCTGCCATGGACTGTCAAAGCGGAGGCAGTCCTCGGAGCGCGGATCAGCCGGACGAGTGCCAGAGCCACCATCAGCCCTGTGCTGCCCTTGGAGTCATCTCCTGTCCCCTGGTCGGTGGGTGCTGCTGCCCCTGATGTTGTGCTTTGATCATCTGTCCCCTGCCATGAGGAACTCAAGTCAGTGTTGAGATTTGATATTTACACCAGGTGCACAAAGTCCCTCTTCTTTTCTTTCCTAGTTTTCGACCTCCCAGCTCACTGCTTCCTTGCGACAGATGCACACGCGCGTTAGAGGTGTTGAGGGGCATGAGGCCGCTCTTGATACACGGGCAGATTTGGGGTTGGGCTCCCTTTGTGTCTTCCCAGGGAGCAGAAGGACGGGGTGTTCCCATGTCAAACCAGGAGAGACTTTTTGGGGAAGAGTGTGAGGTTTTCAGCCCTTTACCAGAAGGGAGTTCACTGCAGAAGATGGCCAAGGGGATGCTGTCAGGGTCAGCACAGGAGGGAAGGCAGTGGCACCCCACTGCAAGAACACCTCATCTTTGATCCCTCAACCACAGCCCTAGAGCGTTTGCCCAGCCCTACCAGGAATGCTTTTCTCTGTGTCCTACAAAGTGGCCTCCCAGGAGATGGACACATGTCCCCACCAAGCCACTGACCATACCAGTGCCCAGCTCTCTGCCTCGGCCACCCTCATCCTCAAATTACCTGCAGAGAGCGAGGTGGGGGATGAGGGACTGGGAAAAGGGGGGGAGCTTTGGGGGTTGAAGGCACAGGACAAGAGGGATGAGCAGTAGGAAGGATACAGGAAAAAAAGGGACCTCTGGCATAAAACTTCCCCGTGTCCCACCCAGATGGAAACACGCCCCACGATGCTGTACTTGCTAACAGGTAAAAGGTTTATGTGCTTGCTGAGGTGATCACCCAGCTCCCCAGAACACCACACGGCACTTGGCATTCCTCCGCTCGAGGCTTTGCCCCTCCACCTGCTGCCAGCGGGACTGGGGGGACTGTAGGTACCTCTTGAGCTTGGGGCAGGGGGTTGCATTTCTTCCTACCCCCTCTCCTCCTCCACTTAGCCCTTTTCAGTGACAAATGACACACCTCCTTGACTCATTAAGCCCAAACTCGTTAATAATCATGCAGGATGGAAGGGGAGGGGATGGAAAAAGGGAGGGAGGGAAGTCTTAAACCCAAATTAGCGTCTCTAAGCACCCAGGTGTTGTAAGAGAAAGAAACTCCTCAGCACCAGCTCAGCCTGTGCTGGGAGAAGCCTTTGTTACCTGGCAAAGCACATTAATTGCGCAGGCAGCTGGGCTGGCAGGGAGACA